GAATATTTTTAATAATTTCGTCGGATTAATAGCTTGTTCATAATTACGAAAGAATGATGACAGCAAAAATATTAAGATATTCATAAAAACAAGAACTGCAATAGTAATGATGGTGATGATGATATGATGATCATTGTGATTTTGATGATGATTATAATAATACTAACAATAAGAGTAAAATAATAATGACAATAATAACAACTGTAATAATGATTACGATAATGGTAATATTGATAACAACAATAATACTAACGATAAAAATAATAATGAAATCGTTAATGATAATGATAGCAACATTAACAAAAAAGTAATGATGATAATAATAATAAATAATGATAATTTTTGTAAAAATAATGATAATGATAACAATAATGACAGCAATAAAAACATCAACAATAACAATAGTTATATAGTATATATATATATATATAAAACATTAATAATAAGAAAAATAGTAATGATGATAACAATAATAACAAATTTCTAATCAAAATGATAAAAATTAATTAATGGTAACAAAGCAACAACAACAACAACAACAACAACATCAACAACAATAATCATAATAATAGTAAACAACATAAACAACAATAACAGCAAACAATATCAACAAGAATAACAACAACAATATTAGTAGCAAAATAATGTTAACAATAATTATGAAGATAATTTCAGATATAACAATATTTTTTTATATAACAACGATCAGAACAATAAGAACAATAATAAAGAACATGACAATACAAGCAGAAGTGAGAACAAGGTCAATAACACTAAGAAAGGCTACCGACCTTTACCTTTCATTAAACCTAATTTTTGAGTTTCAAAAAAAAAAAAAAAAAAAAAAAAAAAATTCGTGACGAAAATGGCCTGAACTTTGAAATCTCGCGGAGAAGCCCCTCCCACTCCCGCATACCAACGAGAGGGAACCTTACCACGGGCCACACCAGTTACGCTTCGTTTGGTATCTTGGTGTAATTTGGTACCTTTATTTGTGCTTCATTTTTCGTGTGGGAGTTCATTACGGTTGGGAAAGGTATCTGTTGTTCCTGGATATACGTGTGGGAGGTTGGTAGCGTTCAGTAAGTCCTTGGTACCGTGGACGAAATAAGTGTGATGTTTGGTAGTTCGTAGTGACGGTAAAAATTTACGTTCCTCGTTAAAAGGGTTACCCATTGTCTCGTAAATCTGTTGCCCTAAGAAGCTAGTATTTTTGTTTTTATCGTATTAATTTTTTCCTTAAGATATTAACTCGGTTATGTATATCTTGAGTGAAAATGTGTTTTACATATATACACAAAGATGTGTGTGTGTGTGTGTATATATATATATATATATATATATATATATATATATATATATATATATATATATATATATATATATATATATATATATATATATATATATATATATATATATATATATATATATATATATATATATATATATATATATATATATATATATATTATATATATAATATATACTACACACACACACATACACACGTATATATATATATATATATATATATATATATATAATATATATATATATATATATATATATATATATATATATATATATATATATATATATATATATATATATATATATATATATATATATATATATATATATATATATATATATGTATATATATATATATATATATATATATATACACACACACACACACACACCTTCGTATAAGTTTTTATGTGGAAAATTAGCGATGTGATAATTAATGTTGCGTGTCGTTCCTGGATAAATCATTTTATCAATATTCTATCCATAAATCTGTATACATATTTTTACCTTCTCTATATCATATAACACACAAGCAGAGATGAAATCACAAAGATTACCTAATCATCCTTGATTTTTCATCTCTGATTATAATGATTATTACGTGACTATAGTTTCACAATATTATTTTCCATTTTGTTTCATTTCCCGCTTTAGAATCTCACCCGAAATTTATCCGAACTTCTAAAATCTCGCAGGTCCGTCTCACCTGAATACCGACGAGGGAGAACTTTGCGGATGCTGAGTTTATCCGGATTTGGTTTTCTGTATTAATTTTCCGAAAGCCAGCTCTTCCCGTTCCGCATTTCACAAAAGAGGACATGACTGTGCGGAGAGAAATCGCCGGTGCCTGAACATGTACGGTATGGGACGGTACAACTGCGTGAAAATGAACAGTCGGTCGGACGTCCGTACTGCACCGTAACCGAATTACCGATGGTTCAAAACAAGTTCACAGTTTTCGTTAGTTTAAAGCTTTAGATAAAACTTATTTTCTTTTGGAATTCAGGGTTTGTTCCAGTTTTTGCATAATGTAGTGGTGTTATGTAGAAAATACAATAATAAATCAACATAATTGTATTTAAGAAAAGAGAAGAGAAGAAACGAGGAGAAAGGAGGGAAGATCAGGCAAATGTAAACCTAAAAAACAAGCTGAAATGATCGGTTACACCTGTTCTCTATCCACACTAATCCCATTCTGTAAGAAGTACCCTTACTTCGTTATACGTATCTATCGCGTAACGCTTTTACGAAAAGAGTAAATGTTTGTCACCTTTCTCAATGAGAGGGGGAGAGAGAGAGAGAGAGAGAGAGAGAGAAGAGAGAGAGAGAGAGAGAGAGAGAGAGAGAGAGAGAGAGAGACAGAGAGAGAAAGAAAGAGAGAAAGAGATAGATAGAAAGATAGATAAATAGAGAGAGAGAGAGAGAGATGATGAAGATGAAGGTAAAAAAAAAAAAAAAAAAAAAAGAGAGAGAGAAAAAACAGACAGTGAGAAAAATATTAACCATGCACTCGTTGTCTCCATGTACAGAGACCGACTGCAATTCCATGACATGTATGAATTTATTCTCCGCGAATATTACCAAACTCTCGCCTCCCATCTGGTTTTCCCGGGTGAAGATATGCACCTCAATGACAAGCTTAGATGAATCCTTCACAGCTACAGTTCAAAGGTTGCCAGGGGATGCACCTTCCTATTATTCCGTTAGGTGAATACATTTACAAGGGTTAATGACAATACTGTATGCTCTGAGCTGTGTTTAATCATGGGCTCCCGATATCTCAAATACACTAAGGTAGGGGTCATTGCTCCCTAATCTTGTTTAAGTCAGCCAAATGGTCTTTGTGAAGCAACGGTGTTCTCATTTCCCTCCAATATGAGCTCATTTTCTGCCCAACAAACCGTGGAGGAAAGTGTCCGAACCCTTGCAATGTCGTGGGTGTGTCTCGCAACTGTGAATATCAGTGAGAGAAGTGTTCGGATCGCCTTTCACGTTAACTCATCCCTGAATATTTTGAGTAGGATCTTACTCACGGGGAAATTCTTATTCCTTCCGTATAAATCGGTTCTATCCATAAAACAACGAATTTGTGAGACAAGTTGCTTGGTTAATGGTAATCCTCATCATAGTTTTAGGAGACTGAAGATACAGTCGAGTAAAGAATTAAGGGAAACAAGTTACCCAGCGTATAGCCCCAATGCAGCGTATATAGGAATTAACCAGGTGTCAAAGATGAGAGCACAATTAATGGAGTTACCTTCAGGTGTTGCGATCTCTTAAATACTATAACATTAGATTTTTCCCTTAATTCTGTCCATATGTGGTTACAATGACTCGTGTTATATAAGGGTCTGTTATGATGCCGGTACAGACTTTGGCATGATTATATCCTAAGTGTTTCCTATGTACCTTGACATCCCCGCTCAAACACCCACATGTTAGCCTATGTAAGTAATATATCCTTCTGCAGTTATGTGCATATGCTCGCTATCATGTATACCTGCAAAGGTTACATTAATCATTATTTTTTTTATTATTGCTCTCTTTCTCTGCCCATTTTTCTTTTCCTTTTTATTTTTCTTGATCTTCTACTGTCACTGGTTATTATTATTATTAGTCATGTTTATTGTTATTATCATTATTATAATTAGTATTATTACTGATATTATTATCGTTTTGAATTATGAATTATTGCTTTTATTATTATACTCATAATTGATATTTTTAATATCATTATTGTTAGTGTCATTATTATTGTTTTTAATTTTTTCATCATCATCATAACTATTATCATTGTTATTATTGTTATTATTATTATCACTGTTATTATGATGTCGTTGTCGTTATCAGTGTTATTATTCTTGTAATAATTATCATTATTATCATTACCATTATCATTATTACTATTATTATGGTCATGATCAACACCATCATCATTATCATTACTATTATCATTACTATCTTCATTATTATCAACATCATTACTATCATTATTATCATTATTACTATTATTATTACTGAACAAAGAACTTTATACGCAGAATCAAATTTTTCAAAAGAAAGAAAAAAAAGTACAGCAACTTGATAAGATATACATATTTATGAAAAACGAAACGAAATTGTGTACGCGGAAACAAGTATGACAGAAAAAAGTCAGAATATGCTATCTAGAACCAATATTTGTATCACCTCTCATTGAACAGCAGAATCTTGATAAAGATTTCATCATTGAATTTCCATCTTGCCGTCTCTCTCTCTCTATCTATCTCTCTCTCTCTCTCTCTCTCTCTCTCTCTCTCTCTCTCTCTCTCTCTCTCTTCTCTCTCTCTCTCTCTCTCTCTCTCTCTCTCTCCTTCTCTCTCTCCTCTCTCTCTCTCTCTCTCTCCTCTCTTCTCTCTCTCCCTCTCTCTCTCTCCTCTCTCTTTACACCTATCTTCAATCAGAGCTATTCTCGGGACTTCTTACTTCATTTTTCTTTTCATTTTGTTATTATTCACAGCAGTGTTTTTTTTTTCTTTTTTTTTTTTACTATAAGGATATCCAACATACCGCTAGAGGGGTAATATAAACTGCATCTGCTGTCACTTGCATCTAATCAAGAAAGAGAGAGAGAGCGGGAGAGTGAGAGAGAGAGAGAGAGAGAGAGAGAGAGAGAGAGAGAGAGAGAGAGAGAGAGAGAGAGAGAGAGAGAGAGAGAGAGAGAGAGAGAGAAGAGAGAGAGAGAGAGAGAGAGACAGACAGAGACACAGACAGACAGACAGAGAGAGAGAGAGAGAGAGAGAGAAGATAATGACAGACAGACAGAGAGAGGCACAGACAGACAGAGCGAGAGAAAAGAAAGTAATAGAATAAGAGAGAAAAGATGAAGGGGTGAGTGGGGAAAACAAGAGAAGAATAAAGGGAAGGGAGTCAAGACGGAAAAAGTAAAATGACAGATGAGAGTTGAATATCTCCCGGAGCACTCGCAGCCACCTGTGCTTTGTTCACACCAAGCCAATTTTGTGATGGTACATTTGCTGCTTTGTAACACTACTCCTCGCTCTTACATAGATGAAAGTGAGAAATAGAGAGATAGAGAGAGAGATAAATGGATATATAGACACACACACACACACACACACACAACACACGAGAGAGAGAGAGAGAGAGAAGAGAGAAAGAGAGAGAGAGAGAGAGAGAGGAGAGAGAGAGAGAGAGAGAGAGAGAGAGAGAGAGAGAGAGAGAGAGAGAGAGAGAGAGAGAGAGAGAGAGAGAGGAGAGAGAAAGAAAGAGAGAAAGAGAGGAGAGAAAGAGAGAGAGAGAGAGAGAGCATTTCACAAAGCATAAATAATATTCTTGTATACCCGTTTATATCCTCTTTATCTCACACACTAGAAATTCCGAACTGCTTCGCTCATATGATTTCACGGTTGGCTTTGTGCTTGATGGAACCAGCTGTTCCCGTGTTCCCCTGTGTAAGGAAGGTGATGGTTCATACAAAGACTTTTTATATGTAATGAGACTAAGCTGTATTTTAGGCGGAAGGCTCTTAAGCCAAGGCGGAATTCTTTGTTAATCCTAAGATACCATTGGTTGCGGTTGATTATTGAGCTTCAACAGAAACGAATAAGGGGGGATCTGTGTGCGTTAACTAGGTAGAGAGTGGAGGGAGAGATAGATAGATAGAGAGAGATACAGATAGATGGATAGATAGAGAGAGGGAGGAAGAAAGAGGCGGGGAATAGATAGATAGATTGAGAGAGAGGGAGGGAGATACAAAGAGGCGGGGAATTGATAGAAATATAGAGAGAAAGAGAGAGAGAGAGAGAATGTTACATATTTATTATAATACAATGATACACAATCCCATACTCTAATATTGAAATAATTTCGTTATAACATTTAAACCCCTCGTTTCTACACCTTTTCACATCATGGCTTCCACTCTAGCGGTGACCGGACACTTGCTTACAGACAAAACAACAACCTTAAATACATACTTATATGGATTTCTTGTTTTCCACGTCAATTTGCTTTGCGTATATTATTATATAAGCCGTCGCCTGCGAGCGTCTCAACAGACAGAGTTCAGTCATAACCTTCTACACACCATATCTGTACTCCAAGAACTAGCCTTCTTAGAAGATTCGTCTCAGTGCACTAAAAACAAGCTGACCTAGCTAGTCATCGTCTGACTGGTCACTCGCCACACGTTGCAGAAGACAGACATACAAAGAAAGATTGAGCGTGCCAGTTAAGCAAACACAGACGAGTAAACAAGCGAAGACAGGCAGCAGACCAATTAATAAAGAAACACACATAAACAAAACCTATCTATCCATTGGAAACTACGTGACTTCCATGGCTAAAAGCATGTTTACCATATTTTTTTTTTAATATCATCATATGAGGGATCAAGTAATATATGGAAACAAACCCTTCAAGATTACCAAGTGATGCAACCCATGTTATTCCGTTTGATGAATACATTTGCAAGAGTTAGCGACAAGATATACACGCGTGTCCAGGCGTGCAATGACACATAACAAAACAGGCAAACAGACAAGAAGACGAAAAAGAAGAAGAAAAAAAAGAAGGAGAAGAAGAAGAAGCAATAAGGTGACACAAGAGAGAGAATCTATGGCTAATTCAGGGACATTTCTTGGAGGAAGGAACCTGCTGCTGCACATGGTAACCGATCAAAGGCGACCACGCGATGCACCTGCTATTATTCCGTTTGGCATGTGCATTAACGAAGAGCCACTGACTCGCCTGCAAGCCTCGTGCCTGTGACTCAGTCTCTGTGCTCTCAGTTTCTCTAATACAATAAAGCAGGGGTCGTCGCTCCCTCACTTCCATGACGTAGTCTATCTAAACTGTATCTCAAACCACCAAGATGCTCCTCGATTTCCTTTATTTTTCGTAACAAAATTATAAGACGACTAGAAGACCTTCCGGGCGTTCTTCAACATTACCTTCCAATATGAGCTCATTTTCGGCTCGGCAAACCCCGGAGGAAAGTGTCCGAACCCTTGCAATCTCTCGGGTGTGTCTTGCAACTGTGAATATCAATGAGGGAAGATTCCACAAGACCCGTACAATTTAGGAATTCGGATCGCCCTCCTCGGTAACTTATCCCTGAATATTTTTGCAAAGGATCTTGCTCAGGGGATGATATTTTTTTATTTATTCATGTTTGCTTGAGGATCGTAAGTTTTGCTTGCTTTTTTTTTCTCTCTCTCTCTTTCTCTTCTCTCTCTCTCTCTTTCTCTCTCTCTCTCTTTCTTTCTCTCTCTCTCTCTCTCTCTCTCTCTCTCTCTCTCTCTCTCTCTCTCTCTCTCTCTCTCTCTCTCTCTCTCTCTCTCT